GCTGGAGGTATCACAGTACCTGACTTCAAGGTATATTACAAAGCAACAGCAATAAAAACAACATGGTACTGGCATAAAAACAGACATGAAGACCAGTGGAATAGAATAGAGGACCCGGATATGAATCCACACAACTATACCCACATTATTTTTGACAACGGGGCCAAGAATATGCGATGGAGAAAAGACAGCCTCTTCAACAAATGCTGCTGGGAAAAGTGGTTATCCATCTGCAACAAACTGAAACTAGATCCATGTTTATCACCCTGTTCTAGTATCAACTCAAAATGGATCAAGGACCTAAATATCAGACCCAAAACTCTGAAATTAGTACAGGAAGGAGCAGAAAACACTCTGGAACTAATAGGTATAGGCAGGGACTTTCTCAATAGAACCCCAGCAGTCCAGCAACTAAGAGAAAGAATGGACAAATGGGACTTCATAAAATTAAAAAGCTCTGCACCACAAAAGAAATGGTCTCTAAACTGAAGAGACCACCCACACAGTGGGAGAAAATCATTGCTAGCTATACATCAGACAAGGGACTGATAACCAGACTATACAGGGAACTTAAGAAACTAAACTCCCCCAAAATCAATGAACCAATTAAAAAATGGGCAACTGAACTAAACAGAATTTTTTAAAAAGAAAAAATTCAAATGCCCCCAAAACACATGAAAAAATGCTCTCCACCTCTAACCATAAAGGAAATGCAAATCAAAACCACACTAAGATTCCACCTCACCCCTGTTAGAATAGCCATCATCAAAAACACCAACAACAATATGTGTTGGCAAGGATGTGGGGAAAAAGGAACCCTTGTACACTGCTGGTAGGAATGCAAGCTGGTACAAACCCTCTGGAAAAAAATTTGGAGGCTTCTTAAAAGTCTAAACATAGATCTGCCATATGATCCAGCAATCCCACTCCTGGGGATATATTCAAAGGAATGCAACACAGGTTTCTCCAGAGGTACCTGCACACCCATGTTTATTGCAGTGCTATTCACAATAGCCAAGTTATGGAAATGACCAAGATGCGCCACTACTGATGAATGGATCCAGAAAACATGGTATTTATCCACAATGTAATTTTACTCAGCCATGAAGAAAAATGAAATTTTATCCTTCACAAGTAAATGGATGGAACTGGAGAATATCATTCTGAGTGAGGTTAGCCCGGCTCAGAAGACCAAAAATCGTATGCTTTCCCTCATATGCAGACTGTAGCTCTACGGCAAATACAGTAATTCCTTGGGTCACATGACAAGGGGAGAGCATATAAGGGAGGTATAAGGATAAGTATAAAACCAAACCTTGAAAGTATTTGATGTCCCCACTCCAGAGGAAGTAATACAGAAACCTTAAAGAGACAGAGGTCAACACGAGAAGGGGATCAGGAACCAGTGTAAAGATCAGTTAGAGATGAATCAACTTGGGTTTTAACACATTTGTACATGGAAGCAATGCTACAAATCTCTCTGTATAGCTATCCTTAACTCAGCTAGCAAAAATGCTTTGTCTTTCTTATTATGCTTATGTCTTCTCTTTAACAAAATTAGAGATAAGGGCAGAACAGGTTCTGCCTGGAAGTGAGAGGGAAGGTGGGAGGGGAAAGGGAGTGGGTGGGGGCTGGGGGGAGAAATGACCCAAACAATGTATGCACATATGAACAAATGAATAAAATTTAAAATTTAAAATAAAGGATTGCTTTTGTTGTTATCTATAGACCAGGAAACACTGGACATGCATGGGAGACCAGTGAGACTAGGTGAGAGTTGATAATGATTAGCACAAGATTGGTGTGGTGTTTATGATGATGGGTGAAAGAATTTGGGTATATTTGGAATGTAGAGCAAGCATGATCTGCTGAAGGAATGATGTAGAGGGTGAGAAAAAAAGGGAGTCAAACATGACTGTTAAATTTATGGCCTAAAAATGGGTGAGTGATGCATTGTCTATTGAGATAGCAAACACTGAGTGGAAATCAGGTTGGGAGGGTTGAAATTAAGAGTGCTGAGCTAGTAATTCCAAGTTAAAAATCATCCAATTACATATTTACTAGGTACTGTGGAAATAAAAAATTTATGCTAAGGTAGTTTCACTCTGGATAAAGAAAAGAGACAATAAAATATTATTTATAATTGCACAAACTCGGAGATACTCAAATATTCAATAGTAGAAAAATGAAAACTTATACAAATCATTGTGTACCCACTACTTAATGCTATGGAAAAATTAAAAATTATGATTACTCAAAGAAAGCAGTAACATGGAAAATATGCTTAACATTGTGAAGAAAAATCAAGATACTGAATTGTGTATACTATACAATTCTAACAATACATTACAAAAGAAGGATTTGAGCTTTAGCGAAATGAATGAAAAAATGAAGATTGCAATTCTAATGACTATGTTAGTATAGTGAAATTATAGATGCCTCCTTTTTTTCCAACCTGAATTTTTACTATTTACTTATCTTTGAACCTACCTATTCACACATTTATAAGCACTTGTTGACATTCTGATATTTTAATGGCTTTTACAGCTTTAGATTTAGTAGACTGAGTAAACTCAGGGCAGGAAAGTTATGAATGCTACAGAGCCACCTTCCACAACATTTACTTCTACAGATCAGGATGAAATAGGGTGACTATGGCAAAGAAAAATGATTCTTGGAGTCTTCTCAGGGTACTGACATCTGCATTACTTGATCTATGTCTTACATTTTGAAAAGTTCCAGGCTAAGAAGAGTCAACAGCACTTCCAGAAGTTTCAAATATCACTATTACCTAAGAAAATAGGAAATAGGATAAAGATGGCCAAGTGGAAACCATATCCCAGAAGTCATTCTGCAATGTCCTCTTAGCACTATCAAGAGAATAGCAAAAAAAAAAAAATTGCCAAAAATAGAGAATGCCCATTTAGACCTCAATGTTTTTGTGGTTCTCTAACATATCTTTCAAATTGCTTTATGGAGCTCTCTTTTAAAAATTATTCATAAGTTAAACTGACAATGATAATTCAATTATCAGAAGCAGTTTTTGGTGATCTTGTAAAGCCACACAACAACGTCATCTTGGGTTATTACCAAGGTCAAAGTCACAGAGCGTGGAATCCAAGTCAAATAAGGCATACTTCCCAAATGAATATACAGTTATCCATGCTTAATGTCAAAGTTAAGAGCTAGAATAAAGGAAAACAAATTAAGAAATCTGAAAAAAGCACACAATAACTCTTTAATTGCACCTTAGTACTGAGAACAAAACAACAATTATATATTTAAACCTCAGTTTATAAAATAACTCAAAATGCTCACACAGCTCCTATGCTTTCCAGGGATGTGTGCCATGGGAAAGGACCAATGATAAAGGAACTTACTGAATATATGAATGCTGAATTATTTAGAGGAGTAATAAAGGGGACCAGAAGCAAGAGTTGATCTTGGGTGTTGTCCAGAGTGGCCAGTCAGAAATCTTGGGACTCTTTTAAGCCCTTATCTCTGCAAAATCTTCCTCCATTGTTTTATATACTGTATATCCCAGAGAACTCCAGACTTTTTCTTAACTGCTTCCCCAATATCTGCCCCTTTTCAGCTGATGATATTCCTCCACTTTTTACAACTAAGTCTTAAAATCCAGGAAATTAGAAGAATCAATCATCAAACTGACATCTGATTGTTCATGGATGCATATCAACATCAAATATTTTTAAAGCTTGTGCATTGAATACTTCTTAATATTTCAACCACCATGAAAGCATTTTTTTCAGATTTGAAATTGTTTTATTGTTTGGCATGCCTTGTACTTACATGCATGCATGTCAGCCTCCCCCAGCCAGTGGAATTTTGTATTCCTATCATCACATGATGTCAAGAATATAAAAGGTATTGATTGGATGATAGTAGGTAGACAGAAAAATGATCAACCACTATTCAAACTTTATGGTGTTCATATCATTATTGTGTCCTTTGAGGAAACTGAAATTTAAGAAAATTAAACATCTTGCCCACAATTTCAAAGTGATGTGGTTACAGGACACGAGATGTGAAAAGATTCAAACCCAAGCAATCTATCCTAGAGTCTGCATGGTTTACTAATTATAATAATACACATTGGAAAACTTCCAATATTCAAACCTGATTATCAACAAGACCAGAAATCTTACACAGTCCTTGATGGTTTCAGTCACTCAGACTGACATGGCATATGTCTCTTATGCAAACTTTGGGTGAAGATAAAATAAAAAAGATAAAATGTAGAATGTTGTGAAACTCTATAAGCCAGATTCAGAGACTGCCCTTGGCATAGTCTACTTTTTGTTCATAAAAGGGATAAACGTGTATTTTGAGGGTTACAGATAGGGAAAACATCAGGAAAGACAGACAGCACAGGTAAAATTCTATTGTGTTCAGCAATAGGAAAGAGCTTTGACAGTGACTTTCTCAATAGGCAAGAAAACTAAACATTAAAGCTAAGCTCAGATCTCAGTTTCCTATCTAGAACAAAATCCCAGTTGTCAAAAATAGTCTCCCAAACCACAGAAAGCACTCCAATGTCTGATGGGATAAACAGTGATAAATGATTGTGTCCACAAATAAGTTTGCCATTCCTTTTGGCAGTATCAGGAAATGTAGAGCCCAAATGGGATTGATATGATGCATGACAGAGCAATACTTTATAAAATTTAAAGAGAAGGAAATAGCAAAATTGACATTGTTACATATTAAACATTTGAACAATGTTTAGGAATCAATTCCTAAAAATGCAGACAATGATAATGAATTGATGTATTCAAATATGAAAAATACTATTGCTCTAGTTTTTTTTAAAAAAAAACATAGCTATGTATACACAGAATCAGTTTGTTACTATGGAATCACATGTGATGTCATAAGTTTGACATTCTAAACGTAGAGCTAGGCTAAGTAAGGAAGGTAGGAAATGGAGCTGGGGAGAGGAAAACCTGCGTAACAACAAAAGAATTTCAATAAGTAAAGAAATGAGTCAAACATCCTTGAAACCAAAAAGGAAGGTGAGTGAGTTGAGTGTCCTAGGGAGTTGGGGAAATGTAAATATTAGTCCATCCTTTCTCTCTGGGAATGTTCTACAAAAATCAAATAATTTCAGATAATGGTTACATGTAGAGAAAAATGGAGGAAAGAGATGAAAAGTTAATGGAGTGGAAAAGAATAGAAAAAGCATATGGTGTATGTGAGTCAAATTAATCAGCACTTACTGAGCATATGCCCGTGCTAATGGTAAGAAGTAAAAACACAATGACTGCCTCTGAAGAATGCCAGTCTAGTAGGATAAAGAATACACAGTGATTCATGCTCAGTAAAACTTGTACAAAAGACATAGATAGGCATGAGAAATGTTTAATGCTAGGAACTGCCTCCAGGTAACAGCTGAGTTTTGAAGACCATTGAAGAGAAGAGACAATTACAAGGAAATGAGGGTGGTATGTAGGAAAATAAAAATCATTTGGCAAAAGTAGGACATAAACGATAAGAGTGGTGAGATTGTAAGCTGCAGGTAGACAAGAGACCATATCTGAAGAATAACTGAAAAAGCAAAAAGGGCTGGCGGTGCAGCTCAAGTGGTAGAGTGCTTGCCTACCAAGCTCAAGGCCCTGAGTTCAAACCCTACTACTGCCAAAAAGAAAAACAAAAAAGATGATCTTAGGCCTAGCTACATGACAATAATAGAGATGAAGAAAGAGGGATTGGATTTAAAATATCTTAGAGTCAGAAATGACAGGATATTATAGGACTGGTATGGGGGAGTTGATGGAAAGATTTTAGAATCAATTCAAGAACCAGTCAGCTCATATTCTCCTTCAATTAACATGGATGAGATATTTCCTGGTGCATGGCACAGTGCATAAATGTATGAATACAGACTGGTCTGGGAGGACTGTGGCCTAACCTTTATGGTGAGCTCCTTAAACAGATAAATAGGACTAAGTTTAATCACATCAGTGCTAATGAATTAGCATGAAACAGTACAAACGGTGCTCCAATAAGTCTCTTCCAATTGATAATGAAAACATAAATATCTGAATAGATTTCTATGTACTGAGTTATCTACTTGTCTTACTCAGTTTTCCCTGTAAGAAATTCCTTTTGTCCTAGAGGCTAAGAGTAATTTGATAAGAACAGAAGATATGTCTGCCAACAAAGTTTTTCAAAATTAAGGTTTTTTTCCTTTTAAAACCAGATTAATATTGGTGAGGTTCAGATATACAGAAAATTAGAACTATAGTTATTAAGAAAATAGCAGTGGTGGCACAAGCCTGTAAATCCCAGCACTTGGGAGACAGAGACAAGAGAATCTCGAGTTCAAGGCCAGTGTGAGCTACATAGTGAGTTCGAGACTAGCCTGGGATACATAATGAGAGCCTATTTCAAAATGCCACAAAAAAAGAAAGAAAAAAGGAAAAAAGCAAAAGAAGAATTTCAAGTCCAATGACAAAGGAGAAGTTCCATAAGTAGCAATATTCAGAGTAACTGGGAGAAAAAAACTTATACTACATAAATTGGACCCTGGAAAATCTTCACAGATCAGTTCTTATGTTACTATTTCTAAATGATTAATGCTATCTCAAAACTATTAACCAGGAAATTTATATGTAATTATTTTTATATAATTCTTCTTTATGAACTGTGTTATTTTTCTCATATTTGCTGGAACAGGGAAAAACAATGTCTAGCGAGTATATATAAAAGAAAAAAAAATCTGTGTTTTATTTATGCTTTTATTTCCAAACCCAAGGTTTTCTAAGGCCCTGATGTTAAAAATTAATGTTCTTTGTTTCCATATTAAGAATGAGGCCGGAATGAGGTACTCAAAAGACAATCTAGATCCAGAAAAAAGAAAGGAGTCTGATAAAGCTGGAAGTGATAAATCGGGAGCTCATCTGAGTTCTCAGGTGAGCTGACTTCTGCAACACCGGTGAGAAAACTAAAGAGCACAAAGCAAAGGGAAAATACCAAAGGGCAGGGGAGTTCTGGGAGAGAAAACTGAACTGGTCAGATCCGTACTAGGGACAAACTGATGTCCTCATGAGAAGGTTAAGGACACATTCAGGAGAAGCTGGTCCCTGCCCTTCCCTCCAGTCCACAGTCCACATTCGTGCAGAATATGCAGTGTAGAAATGCTGCAGTCTCCTCTACTCAGCCAATGGGAGGAGACTCGTCTTTGTTCACATCAGGGAGGGAAGGGAACTCTGGCCATCACATTGACCATTTTCTGCACAATCTTTCAGATGAGGCGTGCAGTCAATCCGAATCACTGGCTGAGATGTTGCAACATGTGGGGTCACCCGTCGTGTAGACACTGCCATTGTGCAGCTGAGGGAACTAGCCCCTGCCGCACAATCCGTATTTATATTCACATGTGCCTGTTGTGGGATCAGGGCCAGCAGAGCACCATGACCAGGGTGAGCAGAGATCGCATGACTGATTTGGGAGGGGAGCCATAGGGGAAGGATGTGGGAAACAGAAACTCTTCCACTGGCCTATCGATGGTGTCCTTCCGAAAGAAAGGCTGGAAGATTCCAGGTCCTGATCTGTAGCTGCCTTAGAGCCCTTCTGCAGCCTCACCTTTGTGGAATGGTAAAATCAGCACATAGGCCATTTCAGCACCTGTTAATAGGCTTGTCCTTAAGGAAGGAAGTGGGGAAAAGGAAGGAAAGATGACCAACTCCACTAAATTTCATAGATGAGTCGTCACAGGTTAAAAAAATCTATGAGCTACCACATTTGTTTCTTGGTTTTGGATGTTGTTCTGGGTGGTTCTCCACTTTGTTGCTTCACACAGAGGTCAGGATTGGGTTAGAGCTAGAGCAGTACACAGGGTGGTAAAAGCTAGCGTCTTTTCAATGGTTGCTGCTATTTTTAGTCTGACATGGTTTTTCAATAGGCACCTACATGGAAGAAGGGGGTGGTGGGAATCACACCTCCACCTTCCACTCTTGTCTTCTCCCTTTGACAGGGATCTCAAGAATTACCAACAGTGCCAAAGACAGATTCTCGAGGGTATGTTGTGCACAATGAGTGGCCCCGAACATCATGGAGCCCATCCACTGGGGCTCCATCAGTAGATGAGCCCAGAAGCAGGATCACCAATACTAAGGTAGAGCTAGAGAGGGAAGAATGGGTGATAAATAAGAGTGGTACACATCTATTGAGTCATTCTATGTGCCAGGCCTTGTTCTATGCTTGTCTTAGCTAATTTGCCCTCCAGAGAATTCCCTGATAAGCTTTGTTTACTGTTGAGAGAACTGAAGCACCTGGGAACTTGCAGAAGTTTCACAGTAATAAATTGTAGAGTTCAGATTAATACGCAGAGTCTAGAGGCTTCATGCTCTTTTCTTCTGAACTCCATCCACTCAACAATTTGTATTGGGCACCCATGGCTCTCCAAAAACGGGGTGGAAAGGTCAACAAAAGAAAAAAAAAAACAGCATTAGATTGTTTGTGCTCTGGGCTCTTAACTAGGCCTGACCACATTAGCAAAATTATATAGTAGTTTTGAGATTATTTTCAGAGGTAAAGAAAATAAGACAATATGTATTTATATTCAATCCATCGGTCAAGTTTGGCTCAATAATCTGACTAAGAATACTTCTTTTCAGTCACATGTGAAACAATCATTAAACCTGAAAGTGACATAGGGAAGCCTAATAAAAAAAATTCTTGCACACCATAGTAAAGGGGTCCTTTCTCTAGAACGATTCCTTCCAAATTTAGGAAGATAATTATTGCTATTGATCTGACATGTGCAGCTTTGAAAGCAGTGAGAAGACCAGCTCCTCACTTTCTCAACAGCCCCTGCATTATTCACATGGAAAATGGGGTGAGGGAGGCCCCCAATGTGGTACAGTAGTGTTCTTCTATGAATGTCTGACCCAGTCTGACATGGAGTTAACTGGAGGCACTGGTCAAGCAAAGTCTATTCTTTTACTCAAGCCTTCTGACTGGGCAAGTATATGGCAGGCAAAGGACAGAACTTTGTAACTTCTGTTCCTCTTGCCTAAGAGTAAGGAAAAGAACCTGTGTGCTACTTACTACTCACAGCCCACAAAGGAGTGTTGCCAGATAGACCAATGAGTTGCGGATGAGGGGAGCTAGAGGACAATGAAAGCAGTTAGTCTGTATCTAACAGCAATACGGAATTCTTGGCACTTAGAAATACCTGAGCCCTTAAAACTGAGGTGAACCAGGACTCATTTAAGATCTAAGAATGGGTGAAAAGGGGAGCCAGGTGGAACTGGAGCCTCGAATTTAGACTTCCACTTTCTTGCTCCAGCAACCCATCAGCTCGGCCACCTCCCGGACTTCGTCCTCTTCTCCCAGCCAGCATGAGTCCTCGCCTCCTGGGCAGCTGTCCGCGCAGCCCTCGCAGTCCCAGCCCCCTCGGCCCGTCACACCTCTGGATTCGCGGCCTCCCACGCCCCCAGAGACGGATCCCACCAGGCGGCCCACCGGGAAGCCGGCTTACGAAAACCCAGAGGCCTGGGCTCACGGCATAGTGCCGGACGTGCGGGACTCCCGTGACCCGCAGACGCGGGACTACGCACACAGTTGCGACTCCCGAGACTCGCATCAGCAGCAACGCGAGTACCCGCACACGCCTCCCACCGAGTGGCGTCCTATGCCCAGCGCCGCATGCTCTACCCCACCTCCGTCGACCTGGACCGCTCATGCCTGTCGGAACTGCAGCAGCGGCAGCAGCGGGAGGAAGATGACGAGGATGAGGCCTACTGGGCAGCCGTAAGGAAGCAGTATGAGAAGACCCCCAGCAGCTCACGACCACGGCCGGTGAGCACCCCTTCTGCAGCCCCGCAGCCCTACCCTGTCCGACCCCCGCCTGTCCATGGTGGAAAGAAGTCAGACCCAGGTCTTTCCACCCCCAGGCCTTCCTGTCTGACTGTCCTCTTGTGCTTGCCTTTCCCGGCAGCCCAAACCCAAACATGCCATCACCATCGCTGTCTCATCCCGAGCACTCTTCAACATGGTGGACGACAGGAGAATCTACGAGGAAGAGGGACTGGAAAAGTACATGGACTATCAGCTCACCAATGAGAATGTCATCCTGACCCCAGGGCCGGCCTTCCGCTTTGTCAAGGTACTGTGCAAGCCGGCTTGGACCTCACAAAGGCCATGGGTGGCAAGAGAAGGACCCAGGAAAACCCCTGGGAGCTCACTCACCTTCCCTGATCACTCCTTTACAACCCTTGCCATTCTTGTCCCTTTCCAGTAGACCAGATCCCATTTGTTCTTTCACAAACGCTTCTGGCCAGAGAAGGAAAGGACTTGAGCAGTCAGCCCTGGATTGGGATCTTGACTTAGCCCTAAGTGGAGTCCTAGTCATTTGACATAGTAGCTTTGCTGGATCTGTAGGAGAGCTAGCAAACAGTAATGAGGTTATAATCCTGTGTAGTAAAAAACAAAATGCCTTATTAAAATGAGATGGAATTCACTTTTATGCCGGCCCCAGACATAGTATATTAAGAAAATCAAGAGGTCCTGACACTTAGAGACATGGATGTACCCTGAAGCATGTAGCACTTATGACTGTTCCCCTCATCACTTATGCAATTATTACATAATAACATAATCATAAGCATGCCAAAAACAAATGACACCTGTACAAGTTGTGGGCAGAAAGTACCTATCAGACTCAATACAAGCAGGAGAGGAAACCACAAGCCTATTCTAAAAATTCATGGTTAAAATGCAGTCAAAGAACTCCCTTCTGCCATACATATGTAAAAACTGGAGCACTACAGAGATGATTAGTCTGGCCTGTGTGCAAGGATGACATGTAAACTCCCAAAGTGTTCTATATTTTTTGCAATAAAAATAATCATTAGATGATCAATAAAGGCAGATTTTAGAAACCAAATGAACAGAAAATGACAACCATAAAAGGGCTAGCCTGATCCTTCTCTCTACCTATTCCTGAGATAATTCTAGTAAACTAAATATTGTAATAATTTTCAACAAAAACTTCCTATGTGTACTTTGATGGAGGCCCATGGATAGGAGGCAGGAAATATAAAATTAGTGTCATAATGATGCCTTTAAGGAGTCATGATCTCTCAGCGAGGACTCTGCAGAGCTTGACCTTGACTCTGATGACTCTTTTTCTCCAGTCTCCCAATGCCCATCTTGCCTGATCCTCTTTACACACACCCGTGTTTGTAACCTGCAGGCGCTGCAGCATGTCAACTCTAGACTCCGTGATCTGTATCCTAATGAACAGGACTTATTTGATATTGTACTGATGACTAATAACCATGCCCAAGTGGGAGTGCGGCTTATAAACAGCGTCAATCACTATGGTAAGTAAAATAAATACCACGTGGAAAACCAGCTTACAGCTCTGGAAGAGACAAGCCATGTTATTTTGCTAACCGTGGCCTAACCAATGCAGTGTCTTTGATACCAACACCCCCTTCTGCGTGAGGAATGTTTATTTGCCTATGTCAGAACAAGAAAGGCCATGTTCACTTCTAACTTCAGCACAGAGTTAGGCTCAAAGCTCTGGACTTAACTTGTCAAGTGTGAATTTCAAAGTCTTAATCCCAGGTCCTGTAATATATTTCTCTTTTTTATGTTTTTCACTTCTGAACTTGACTTCAAGGAGCCGTAACCCCAAAAGCTTCCTCCGTGTGATCAAACTTCTTGCTCACCACAGATCCATAGTAAGGGTTTAAAGGTTTTCACCTCTCCTCCCCACTCTTAAAAATCTGATTCTCCTGGCTGTTCTTTCTCCATACACAAATCCATACTCATGTCAGCAAAATTGTCTTTACTCCTTTACATGGAAATTTTGATTAGCTCTAGTCTCCACAGCATTTCCGTCAATGTGTCACTTTCTCTTAACGTTTCCATTTTTCCTACCGTGAAATTACCTTCCTTCCTATTTGGGTCACCATTATCCTGTTTTTTAAGTGACAGACCCAGTCTTGTGGGTATGTCAAGTCAAAATTAGGTTTAAATGGTGCACATTTAAATTCTAAAATCAAATTGAGCATATTTATAAATAATCAAGATATATTACCAGTTATTGAATTTTATTTTATATTATCCTAATTATATGGCTGATATCATACTGGGACATACATTTTTAAAACTGCCTTTTTAGATGCAGCCTTCATAGTGTCATGAAGTGAAAAGTGAAAATGTATATAAAAGGTCCAGCATAAATATAATAATAAATGAAAACTATTTTTTGGTTTTTTGAGACAAAGTCTCACTATGTAGCCCAGGCTAGCCTCAAACTCTAAATCCTCCTGCTTTAGTATCCTGAATGCTGAGATTATTGCCAGTGCCATTATATTTCAACCAAAAATTGTTAATTTAAGATACATAGTCTTACTTGGGTTAGTAGATGATATTGATTAGCTGTCCCTCATCAAATTGGATCCTTTTAGGCTGGAAGCACAAAGTATACTGGTTGATTCTGCCGATGAACCATCAGCAGAGGGCTGCCTTCTCAAACAGCCTTATTCATGGAATAACAACCCTTTACCCACAAGAGTTAGTTATTTCCCTTTGTTGGGTGCTAAACACAATCTGTATCTTTCTGTCCTGTGGTCTATGGTATCATTAACTTTTTATATGCCTGGCTCCATAATAAACTGTGGTCTCCTTGAGAAGAGGGACAATGTTCAATCATTTCTGAAGTTGCAGAGTTATCAAATATTTTCTGGATCATTACATTAATATTATTTAAAATTTATAGAATCCACTTTTGTGTCACTTACACCCAACATTGGCTTAAGTGACAATTGAGAGTATTTTGTTAACACCAAAACAGACACGTCCAGCCCCACTGTTGATACATCCTACCTATAAAATTCTAACCCTAGCCATGACCCTGATCTTAACCCCAACCCTAACCCTTACTCTTGGCTCATACAAATGTCAAACAGCTGACTAGACTTGATAGTCTGCTTTATATCACATGCATCTTAAAAAGACTTTGAATAGATACATAATATTTTATTATATGCATGATGCTATGCTTTATCTAATAATTCTTACATTGGTTGTCACATTTTGCTTTTCTAAATAACCCCAAGTTAAGACCTTTCTACATAAATCTTTATCAGAGTTTTACATCATTTCCTTTGGATAAATACCTGAAAAAAAAAAAGGAATCCCTGGATCAAAAGGAATAAATGTAAAAGCTCTTGATTCATATTGTCAGATTACTTTTTGACAATTAGTACCAATTTATACCTTCATCATTGCATAGGTTGGTTGCTATTTTATAATTTTCTCACCAACAGCTGGTATTTTTTAAATTGTTACTTATTTGAAAGGTATTTAATAGTATATTATGTTGAATCTGCTAATAATCGCATTAAAATTTTCAAGTTGGGAAGGAGTAACAATTTTAGGTATTTAAAATAGTTTAAATCCTACTTATTAATATTATTATATTGTTACTGAAGAAAGGATACTGAAAACAGAGTCTCAGGTCATAGTTCATGTAACAGAAGCATTAGCTCAAGTCTGCTCCATGCTTAGCAGCCAGTGGGTTAGACAAGTTCTCTGTGTCAGCCTCCTTCTCTATACTGAGGATATTACTGGCCAGGAAATTCCAAGAGTAACTTGGCATGGTCTATATGAATATAGGTCATAAAGTATAATGAACCAAACATACCCTGGTATGTGAAATACCTGCGAAGTTTCTCAATATTGATGCTATGAAAATAATTTTAAACCTTCAATTATTTCTAAGATAGCTTTCATTTATAAAGATTTTAAAATGAACTGAGATTTACAGATAAACTTGGTTATCCCTAAGGGAACTTTCATTTAGATTTATGGTGTTTTATTTTTAGTCTAGGCCATAACCAAGTCTGTCTTACCTAATAATAGGTTTACTAATTGACCGCTTCTGTTTGACTGGTGGAAAAAGCCCCATTGGCTATTTGAAGGCATATCTCACCAACCTGTACCTTTCTGCAGATTCTGAAAAAGTACAAGAAGCAATACAAGAAGGTATTAGTCTGTTTTCTCTCTCTAGTTAATAAGAGTTGTACTGATGGCCACTTACCTTGGGTTTCACATAGGATTAGGTGGTTTACACTTTTGGGTCTTCTGCTAAGTGTTTCCACATGTGACAGCCTTTATGCTTGTGCTTTAAGTTTTAACTTCCTGGAGGGGGAGGCATTTTCAGTAATTGCCTTACGACCCATTTGAAGAAATAGAAGCAGTGCACAGATACCTCTTCTGAGATGGGTGTTTGTGAAGAGCAGTGGAGCCATCTGGTAATTGCTAGAGAAAAAACATCAGTGATGGGAAGATTTCATTTTAATGGGGAAAAACTACAACTCATGGCCCTGAGAAGAAAATTAATTAATCCCCATAATCTGCCAGGAATTGCCTCTGCAACGATGTTTGATGGAGCCAAAGACATGGCTTATTGTGACACACAGCTCCGTGTGGCCTTTGATGGCGACGCTGTACTCTTCTCTGACGAGGCTGAGCACATTACCAAGGAGCATGGGCTAGACAAATTCTTTCAGCATGAAACATTGTTTGAGAATAAGCCTCTTGCTCAGGTAAGTTCGGTGAGCTCCAGTTAATTTTCATATCCTCATTTCCTAACATACGAATAGAAATATTTGTTCATGGCAATGGACTTTTAAACTATTTTAGACAAGCTCCTCCTCATTGCAGTTTTCTGTCATTGGTGAATTCCTCATTTTGAAGCACCCACTGCTCACAACTTTTCTTTCAAATGTTGACCTCCTTTTAAATATCCTTTGGGAAATGCTTCTATGATCTTTCTATGATAGTGAGTTGACCCCCTCCAGGATATGAGTAACAGAGGGAACACAGCTTACCAATAAGCTGTTTGCAAGGTAATAGGTTCTTTAAACATTAAATAGGTCATTAAACATTCTTCTGGATCTCTCAGTCCTTGACCCCAAATTTAAGCAAGGCATTGTCTTAATTGGGAAAATCTGCAAAACTGAGGGTCTGAATCCAATCAGATAGCCTCAAAGAAGCACAAACTATGAACGCCGAATCAAACCAAAAGCAAATATTTAGGTTTTTAGGAATTCATCCATGAACTGAAGTGTTAAAACCAAGGTCTGAGAAGAACAAAACTTAATAACTTCTGAACCAAAGTAAATTTGAAACATCAAAATGTTGTGCAAACAATCTGAAGTGATGGATCCTTCAGTTTTAGTCTATGAATCTTCCCAAGAAATAGAATTGTCCTTTGTCAGTTTGTTTTAAACCTTAATGAACTTAAATACTATTATTTTTGCTTGCCTTTATAAAAGTATTAATAGACTTATTGAAAGCTGGCACATTTTACTATCTTGTCACTGAACCTTAAATAAGGGACACTTAAGTTATGTGGTTAGATTTATCAATTTGATCTCGTATGAACTGTGTCTTCAAAGTCATATCTAAGAAATATTTGCCATCCAAGATCAGCAAGATTTTCTCCCATACTATTGCACAGAAATATGTTAGATTTTATTCTTAGAGTTACAGTCAATTTTGAGTTAATATTGTATTTGAATAAAGTGTTAGCTGTGGTTCATTTTTTTGGCTTATGAATATACTACTCGTTCTTTCATTATTTGTTGAAAAGGCTGATTTTCTGTTCTGTTCCTTTAATATAGGTATCCATCTTTTTACCAATATAAATACCATCCTGATTTTATAGATTTAGAGTAGGTCCTAAAATCAGATGGTATTAGTTCTCTGACTTACTTCCCAAAACTGTTTATGATAGCCTCATTTCCTTGCATTTTCATATAGATTTAAGAAGGAGCTTGCCTATTTCTGAGGAAAAAAATCCTACTGGAATTTTTATTGGTATTGAATTTATAGCTAAATACAGGAAGAATAGATACTTTTATAATATTGAGTTTTTCAGGTCATGGTATACTTTCCATTTATTTAGGTCATTTAAAAAACATTTCATCAATGTTTTATAGGTTTCACCATACAGATAATACATGTTTACCAGATTTATACCTAGGCATTTCACAATTTTTGGTACTATTATAGAGATAACTTTTAAAATCCTTAATGGTCAGTTACTTGTTTATTACAAATGTGCAGAGACACAGATGGTATTTGTGTATTGACCATATAACTTGCAGCATGGTTAAACTGACTTTGTATTACTAACAATTTTGTGGATTATTTGAGATTTTCTAAGCAGACATGCTTGACTGTGAGTAAAGGTAGTTTTATTTCTCTTTCCTTGTTGTGTGTCTTTATCTTTCTTGCCTCATTACCTTGCTAGTTATTTAATACAATGCTCAGAAAGTCATGAAAGCGGGCTTCCTTCCCTTATTCCCTGCTCTTCTAAGGCATCATTCAGTGTCTCGCAATATCTACAGGTTCTTCTTGATGTACTTTGTCAAGTTGAAGGGTTATTTTCTATTCTTATTTTTAAGGGTCTTTATAATAACTGCATGTTGGTTTTTGATCTGAGCCTTTTTTGCATTTATTGAGAATATCATGTGTCTTCTCTGATTTGACGCTGATGGATTGAAAATGCTGCATTTTTGGTATAAATTCAAGATGGCCATATGCTGTGATCCTCTCATCTATTGTTGAGTCCAATTTATTAAAATTCAGAAATTTTTGCCTTCATATTCATGAAGGAAATGGACCTGTAATTTTCTTGTAGTATCTTAATCTGATTTTGATAATAAGGTAATACTGATCTCATAAAATGTAAAACTATTTTAAATGCTTGATAAACCTTTCTAGAGAAGCCAAATAGGCCTGGACTTTTCTTTGTTGGAAGGCTTTTAACTAATAAATTCAATTATTTTAAAAGTTACAGAACTAATGTCTAGATTTTCTTTTTGCCCTTTTGTTCATTCCTTTTTTCTCTCTGAATATGAATTTATGTTTTTCAAGGAATTTGTCAATTACATATAAGCAACTTCATAAATGCAAAGTTTTTATTTTTTTATTATGTTTTTAATGTTTATAGACTCTTTAGTGATGTTTCCCCAAGTTCATTTCTGATATTAGTAATTGATGCCTTTGCTATACTTATTTTAGTTTTAGTTAAGATGGTCAGAGATTCACCAATTTTAATTTAGCTTTATAATGAGCTAGCTTTTGTTAAGATTTTAAATGCAAAACCTGAGGTATTGTTTTGAGACTTCTTTTCTAAACTAAGCACTTTGGTGCTTTAAAATTTCCTCTACACATACTGTAGTTGCATCCCCCAAGTTTTGATTTATTTATAAATTACCTGAAATTTTCATACATGCTTATACATTGTCTTCTTCAATGTCCTGCCAAATGAATGCCAGTTCTTACATTCCATTTCTCGTTGGAAAGATGCCTGTCTTCCTATGATTCAATGCTAGTTGGTTGCCCTTTGATCTCAGCTCTCTCTTGGAGTTTAGTTATGATGTTTTTCAGATTGTTTGAGTTTTCTTGTTATTTGGGGTAGAGACAATAATCTCTTTAGCTTTCCATACCTTAGGAAGATTCCAAATGCTTTAAATCTTATATCTCCTCAGAGAAGTATTTTAATAACATTCATTAACATATCTTTGCTTTATTGATAAATTATACAGTTTACTAGTGTATAAATATACAAATTATGAAACATACTCAAGAATAGAAGTAAGAGAGGATGGGAGAGCCTCCTGGTTTTAATATGATAACATAAACTCAGCATTCCTCATTTATTCCTTTTGGAAAATTTGTGAATGCAGCAAAGAGAACTGAGCCTCTCTGTGTTTCAAAAACAAAATGGGACTAGAGTGGCTGCCAACAGTAACTAGACCAGTTTTTCTTTTGTTGCCAAAAAAGAACCATACTATTTTTTGAAAATATGACTTATTATGTGAATATTTGCTTGATTCTGCACTCTCTGCAGCTACATATAACAGAACAGTAAGTAAAATTTACTTCCTGAAGGTGAGAGGCATATATATATATATATACACCACACACACACACACACACACACACACACACACACATACATAGAGAGAGAGACAGATGCATGTATGGATATATGGATATATGCATATATATTGTGTGTATGTGTGTGTGTATATGAACACTATGTATATACTCATATTGTGCTTGTGTATATAAAGAATCTAACATATGCATTAGCAGCATCCCAGAGAGTATCATTGAAATTATGTCAGGTGTGGTACAGTTAAATGTGAACATGAAAAATTACATAAAAATATAAGTCAAGAAGACATCCTTGAATTCTCTGAAGATATTAATGTATATACTAAACTACTAAAATATTAATGATAAAGGCCCATATTTTCTGATAGAGAAATAAAGCCAGAATAATCATGACCAAGACATGGCCAAGTGAAATTAGTTGACTTCAAACATGAATAATTCTTTGAGCTGCCCACCAACAAAGAGTAAAAACCTTAAATTGTGGTGAGGAAGTGGGCATCAAACTGCCCTCAAACTCCTTAACAGCTTCTCTCAATGGTCAAAACACTACTTATAAAATCTTAAGGACAGAAAATATAAATTGTGGAATCTATTTTCAACCAAAAGTTGATTCAGAGGAAGAAGCTATATAGTTAAGGACATACCAAACTCTCAAAGATTATTTCCTGTAAGAGTTCTCTTGAGAAAACTAGTGTTCTACAACAGAGATTGGCCAATATGAGGATGACTGGATGAACTAATGCACAATTTGGCATACAATATAATTAGTCATGAATTTAAAACTAAAACAATGGGTGGGTCTAGGGTAACATGGAGGGGCAAATATTACATGTCTTAATGTAGGATTTATATAGCTAGTGCCAAAAAATATTTGTAAAAGAAATACTATACAGTATAATGATATCTTTAGTTAGAACAGCCAATCTGAGGATAAAATTAAGTTGATCTAAAAACATATTTTTTAAAAAATAAAGTTGATTTAAAAGCAGGCCTGAATAAAGAGTAAATAAAGTAACTACAATTAGATGATGGAGAAGAAACAGAAAATTAGAGTCAGACTGAAAAAAATTCTTAATGTCATTATTTCTCTTTGCAAACTGGGTGTTATAGAACACATATGTAATCCCAACATTGGGAGGCTCCAGCAGGAGGATGTCAAGCTTAAGACCATCCTGGCCACAAAACTTGTCTCAAAAACTAACAAACAGTAATAGAATCAAGATATTAAAAAAAAATTCAGGACTGAGGATACTGTAAAATGTTATAGGTATTTTAAAGTGAAATAAAGTAAAACTTCTTAAATGTCAGAAGAACCACACATACACACATACTAAGAAGCAAGACACTTGTTAGTGAATGCCTCAAAATTTTCAGACTTGAGAAATGCAACAGAACAATAAAACAGAGCCAATATCAAGTATATTTGTAATATGAATAAATGTAAATGAGCTAAAATTCAACAACTATTCTAAAATACAACACTTTCATATTGGATTACATTGTAAAATCCAATTCTGTGCTTTATAAAAGAGATATAGCTAACATTAAGTGCTCAGAAAGATTGAAAATGAAAGCAAGTATGAAAATATAAAAAGTAACTGTAAAAATAAAATGAGGTTGGATTCAGGGTGCAAAAACACATTGGACCAAACAGAAAAAAGTATACTTTTAAAGTATTTTGATGACCAAAGGAGTTTATTCCAAGTTGCCATCTATCTCATTAATCATGGATGGTTTATGTCTACTGTGCTGGTTTAATTATTTATAAACACTTTTACACTTAAAATATCTTGGTTTAGATGATAAATTATATGATCAACCTAGGTTTTATTTATTTTTCCTGGAATGCAAGGATAGCTGTGTATCAGGAAATACATTTGTACAAATGCAGGGAGCTTTAACATTGTATGGTTGGTCCAGTAACACTGTATGTCATGAATTATGTCTTTTCTAGGTTCATATAAGCCTCTGTTTTTTAAATAATTATTTTGGCTCACTGGTTCATCGCTGTGATATATTTCTTTTCACAGGGTCCCTTGAAAGGCTTTCTGGAAGACTTAGGCAGACTGCAAAAGAAGTTTTATGCCAAAGATGAACGGTTACTTTGTCCCATTAGGACCTACCTGATTACAGCCAGAAGTGCAGCCAGTTCAGGCGCCCGTGTGTTGAAGACCCTTCGCCGCTGGGGTCTAGAGATAGATGAAGCTCTTTTCCTTGCTGGAGCTCCCAAAGGTCCCATCTTGGTGAAGATCTGGCCCCACATCTTCTTTGATGACCAGATGTTCCACATTGACTCAGCACACAAATTTGGCACCATCACAGCAGCTCATGTACCTTATGGCATTGGTCAAAAATACAACACTCAGTGATAGGGAGAAGAAATAATATTTCAAATGACACTTCTGTTGGCTGTCAAGAATAATGAGGTAGAAGATTGGACCTCAAAATTTAGCTCCTTTAGGAAGGTTATCTCTTCATTTTTGGAAACATTTTGAACTGTCAAGTTACCTTCAAGCTACTTCTTTTTAAGCTATCAATGCTATTGAATACCATTGTACCTTTCTCTGTGTAAGTTATAAGTATGACTCTTCAGGGTAAGCTTAGCACTTGAATGCCCTTTAAGGGGCTGTTTCAGAAGCTTAGTTTCATAAAACAGTGCTCTTTTTGGATGTTGGTTGCTTAAATGAATCATCACCTAGAGTAGTGATTTACAAAGGTAGAATGAGCTCTGAAAACTAGGGAATTTTTTAGTCAGTTGCCTCTATATCCAGCATTTTTGACCAATTTAAAATGAGAATGTCATTCTACTTGCAGGAGTGTACCAATTTTTGAAACTGCTCATTTGGAAATAAATCAGGTGGTTGTTCCAACAGGGTACTTTGTAAGATCAGTTCTAGACAGAAGGTTTTTTTTATGCTTTCTTTGTGTGTGTTCAACATCTGTGGACCACAGCGCTTCATATTTGAAGTCTCTAGCTTTGGGCCTGGCAGGTTGGACCAATATTTTCAACAAAACATGATTGGTTATTAACCATAATATACCATACATTAGCTGGTAATTTTCATGTTACCTTATTTTCTTATCAAATTAAATATCTCTGACATAGTATTATTCGTCCTTCTTTTGATGAGAAACTTAACATTCAAAACTACTAAATAGAATGTCCAAAAATCTGATCTAATATACAGCTAATCAGTGGTAGGGCCAAGATTCAATTTTACTTATTTCAAAAGAAGCATATGTCTCTTTTCTCTGTTATGCAGGCTTCCAAATAGAGTTGTTACTAATTCCATGGCCTTTGGATCCATCTGGAGGGGATTAGTCATTCCATTAAGCTCCGTATGTAAGCTACATAGCAGATCTAAGAAGTCCTTTTCTCTTGTTCTCATATTCTCTCCAGCTCTATTTCTACCTCCATCTGTACCTTAACTATACATATATACTCCATCCCTGGCTCTACTTTAGAGAAGACCACAACTGTCTTCTTCATCTTTTGCTCTCCCTAATTTGATGTGAAACAGTCCAAAATATATCAGTTGTGACACTTACTGAATACCTATTGTTTTCTTATGCATTAGCTTATGTAAAGACCACAAGAGGGACACAGTCAGAATCCCATCCTTTGGGAAATTTAAAACCTTAACATCCTGGCAGAGAAAACTCAAACTCAAATAGCCAACACTAGAGGGCTGTTTGTCCTTACTGCCGATGAGAGTCACACATGAAGTTAAGGAGGCAAAAATCAGTATAGGCTGGAAGTGGTTAGCAAAGACACACCTGAGATGGGCTTTAAAGGGTGGGCAATATGGGAATGGGTGGAATGGAAGAGAAAGAGGAAAAACATGTGCTTGGGGCTCAAGGACTTTATGTGGCCACTTCTTATAGGGGGAAGGATGGAAGAAAGGGTCCCCTCTCCAGAATCCTGTTCCTAGTGCCATGTTCTAAATCCCAGTGGTGTGCTCCTTCCCACCTCTGACCACTTCTTAGTACTCAAAAGAAACTGGATGTCTGGATCTATACCTTTTCTATGTCTACTAGATGCTTGTTACATCCTTGAAGGAAGTGGAAGGTGGTTGATCAAAATCAGCTGGGGAGTTTATTTCAAACTACACAACTAAAGCCTCCCTTTGATTGTTCTGAAGAATCTTCAGTGGAGGGGAATATTCTTTACTATCCGGTAAGCACCCTGAGAACAAAAATGGTATCCTATTTATCCATGCCACTCACACAGCAAGGGGCACAGGCAGAGTTTGGCACATATTGGGTGAGCAGATGAACTCTTTTAAGAGTTCTTCATTTAAAGCTATGAGTTTGAGGCCTTGACATTGATTCTTGTGGCATTAAACCCTGACATTTATAAAGCATTTTGACAGTGTACAAAGTATTTTGCCCTCCATGAGTACGTGTAATAGTCTCATGGAGGTGGTATGGAGGCAATTGTGGGCTTCTCAGAAGTCTGTGTACAATAAGTGCAAGCTTCTCCCATGGTGGCTCTACCAGTGCCAAATAAGATCATTTGAGGACAACTTTTTATATAGGGACTAAGATCATAATACTCATCTTCAGTGATCCTCAAGTGTGGGTCCCAGGGCATCACCTGGGAGACTGTCAGGAAAGCACATTCTCTGACCTCATCCCAAACCTGTAGCACTAGAAAATTCTGAAAATGAGGAACTGAAATTTGTTTTCCTTTTGTTTTACACGCACCCTCCTCCCCCACACTTCCACGTGATTCTGGTACACCTAAAGTCAGAAATCCATTGGCCCATTCTCTCTACAACTGACTCATGTTGTAAATTTTGAAGCCTTGTGCATCAAGGAAAATTAAAAATAACCTCACAATTCAGATGGGTAGAGACCAACAGGTGAAAGTAAACTGAACTGTTTACAGATCTCAGAAGAGTGGCATTGATTACTGGGCTTACCCAGAAATTTCTATAAACTAAAAGCATTCATCCTGCTTTCCCACAGCCAGTAGCCAGGTGCCACAGACGGCGCGTGATAGAGAGCGCCAGCCTCTCCTAACCAATCAGGTGGCCTCAGGGTGTAAACTACAAGTCCCAGCATGCCCGGCGCACACCTTCAGGAGACGGTCGGCCGCGTCCCAGAGCCCTTAGCGCTGTGGTGGCTGCCTCGGCCCCGGAATCCTAGTTCAGGGCCCACTGGGTCCCGGCCCAGAAGGCTATGGCAGTGGCTACCGCTGTAGCACTACTGGCCGCTCTGGGTGGGACGCTGTGGTTGGCGGCCCGGCGCATTGGAGGGACCAGGGCCCAGCGGCTGCACGGAGGCGGGGACTCCGGCCTCATGCGCGGAAAGACCGTGCTGATCACCGGAGCGAACAGCGGTTTGGGCCGCGCCACGGCGGCCGAGCTGCTGCGCTTGGGGGCTCGGGTGATCATGGGCTGCCGGGACCGTGCGCGCGCCGAGGAGGCGGCGGGCCAGCTCCGCCGCGAGCTCCGGCAGGCTGGTGACCCCAGCCCTGGCCCGGACGCCGGTGGGCCAGGCGAGCTCGTCATCAAGGAGCTGGATCTCGCCTCGCTGCGCTCAGTGCGCGCCTTCTGCCAGGAGCTGCTCCAGGTGTGGGTCTTGCGGAGCCCAGCTGCCCAGGAGGGAGGGCGGGGTGGGGAGCGCTGTAGGAGGGGCCCTGGAGCCCGGGGGTGACCTTGGCAATGGCGGAGGCTGAGTAGGAAGACACCACCACTCTGATGGCAAAGAGGTGCAGGCCTGAGAAAGGAGGACCCGGAGGGCCGTCTTCTGACCTCTGAGGATGTTGAGGAAGAAATGGGCCCCGGACGAAAATGATAAATAAGCTAGTGTTTGAACTGTTCTTTGGATTGTGTGGGCCCAGCCAGGAGTCATCACCCGGTCTCTGAACTGTTTTTCCTGTGTCAGAAGTGAACATGTGTCAAATCATGCCTTCTCTCATGGAGTCTGAGGGGCTGCGGGAGAGTAGACAGCTAAGAACCTTGGATCAGCCCCCTTTTCAGTGTTTCTTGTCTGTTTTTCTCTCTTTCTTCCTTTTTCCTTTTTTTTTTTCTTTTTGTTTTCTTTTATGCAGAGGTAGGCAGTGCCACTTACCACCACTTTAGCACTGTCCCTTAACCAGACTCTGTCTGGCCTGATCTCCAAGTAGAATCAGGTTGCAGTCCTTGTGGTCATGGTCCAAACAAGGGTAGGAATAAAAACAATGTAATGCCTAGTGTATTTTGAATATTTACTGTATACAAAGATGTGTGTCAAGCATTTCAGACATTTAAAAAAAAGGAAATTAAAATGCCTTTGGCCGTGTCATTAGGTCCTCACAGTAACCCTGTGAAGTAAGCATCATTATCTCTGTTTCACAATAGGAAATTAAGGCACAGAAAGGCTAAGTAACATACCTGTGGCCTGTCTTCAGAGACCTTTCTTTTAACCCCTATTCTATACTCCTAACTGGTGGTGGAGTGTGAAGATTTCTGTGAGCAAGTGTTAAGTACCCCACTGAAGTGGGAGTCCTTAGTTGAGATTGAGGTAGAGGGCTTCTTGCAGAGAGACATATAAAATTAGTTGACACAGTAAAGGTGCCTGTGAGAAATGAAATCTCTTGAATCAAGAGCAGAAGTTTCCAAACTTTCTCAGTAATTTTTGCATGATATCCTTGGGCCTAAAGAAATATCTACAAGTTCATTTATTAAGAGTTAGATCTGAACAATCTAAAAAGTACTGAAGTCCTAACAACTCAGTAGCTGTTTGAAAAAAAAAATTCAAAAAAAAAATGATGTCTTTATTCTTAAATAGCCATAATTTATCAGTGGGAAATGTGTGCCTGTTTGTCACTGCACCAGCATCTCCAACCTTGCAGTCAGATTGGACATGACCACCCTGGTTTCCTGTTCTACATAGGTTTTTAGCCTCACACCTACTTTTTATTACAATAGCTACTAATAACTTAAAACCTCAGAAATGATCTTGTCAAAGAAGAATAGAATATAATGCTGAAGTTTTGAACCACTTGAAGCTAGAAATTTTTTGAGCATTGAACAGAGTATCACTGTTTTCCTTGGCAATTTAAAATGTTCCACAGCATCTTAGGAGTTTGTTGCTGCAGTGCTCTGGAATGGAGCATCATGTTGCAGCTTGGCCACTGTTGCAGATCAAGGGAGTTAGGTTTGTGTTATTGGTGGTATTTCATTATCATATAAAAGGTTAAGAAGCAATAGTAATGTATGAAAGATTGTGGGAATATTAGAAGTGTGTCTTCTTATGCTGTATTAAAATATAAATGGGGCTGGATATGCTTCTTATTCCTAAAACCTTTGCCACTTTGGTGACTTGAAGCAGAACCAATGAAAAAATAAGTAACAATGTAGTTACAAAGAGATAACTAAATTGTCCTTGCTTGTAAGCATTTATATTTCTTCTTGACTTTGAAGTTCAGTGACTATAAATAGAAGGAAAAAAAATGGAAGCACAGACTTCTCACAAGTTGGTATTCTTGGTATTTGTGTCATTTATCTCCTAGAATTTAAGAAATAGTAAATTATAAAGTTTAAAATAACACAAGCCCAGTAAAGAATGATGGTTGAGAAATGATTAATTCAGGAACCCTTCCAAAGGATTAGTGAAAAAGAACACTCCTTTCTTTCCCCTATCAGTGAACTCTTGCCTTCTTTTTGAAGTTGACCATTGGAAAGCCTAAAGGTTTTTACAGAGACCAGAATGAGAAATAATTAATCCTCCAACAGGTAGGCTTTGATAACAGTTGTGAAATTTAACACATTTTTCTTTTCACTCATACTTGGCAAAAAGACCAATGAAAGTTGAAATTTGACCTGGAATTAATTTAATCTTGGGTCGTCACCATGCCTTTACACCTGGACCATGTTGTATATTTCTTTTTCTCTGTCTATCAACAAAGACAGAAAGTGCCAGTAAAGGGCTAGAGAGAACTAGCTTATATGATTTAAGGAATAAAAAGACTTCCCTATGAGCACAGTAAATTTTAGGACATTAATTTGGGAAGATTCCAGGGTACCAATGAACAAAATTCTGACTCTTAAGTGGGGACCTCTTGAAGCTTAAAAAGAGTATTCACTTAGGAAAAAAAGAGACTGCGCTGTAGAGTCAGAGGTTAAAGGTATTTGTTGTCTTTTGCCTCCTTTACTGTTGTGAGACTCATGTATGAGACACTATATTTCTAATTTTTTTTATGTTACCTAATTTTAACAAATCTTTTGATTTATTCATGATGTTCTCTCCAGTCTCTGATCTCTATTGCTGGCCCCAATTTTAAGGAAATGCCTTGAAGTCATTCTGTTCTCATGGTGCCATTTATACTTAAGAGGACTGTCAAATAAAGCAATCTTAACTTTGCCCTTGGTGTTGATACTAGCAGGTCTTAGAATAAACAATGCTGACCCTTCAATTGTACATGATGTCCCTAGTTTCTAGCATCATTTTAAAAATCCCAGTTAGAAAGCCAATCTAGCTTACTAATCAGGAGGGGTATAGGTGTCTTAGGATTTCATCTTCTGGTCTAATTCTTTGTTTTGCCTCCTAGAAGCTCTGTGACAATGGGCACATCACCTAGCTTATGTGCTTCAGGATGCTTATATGAAGTTATTGGAAGTAGGTTAGGTTACATGAGAAAAGCAGAAGGCTAGACCCCTATTATGGATATCTTTTTATTTCTATTTTTCTCTCAATTGTTGGAAATTCATAGAAGTATTTTGGGGAATTTTAGTATTCTACAGGAAGTTTTAAAAATTTTATCTTAGGGACTTTTTTTGTAATTTTGATATGACCTCAGATTAAAATGATAACTCCCAAATTGATATTTTCCTAGTTAACCTGAAATTAAGGGGAGAAATATGGATTTGCAGGAGTGCCTCATCCCCATAGTTTCTGTTTTAACAAAGACCTTGATACTGACCAGAAGATCAACTTTCTAGGGAAATGCCAGTTACATATTTGTAATCATTAAGTTGTAAAAACATAAGACCAGAAATTGTCTTGAATTTAGTTTCTGCATTTCTTACTTGAAGATTACCATTGAGAAATATGTTATTATTATTTTAATAAATGAGAAGGAGCTGTTGAGTGAGATTGCAAATATCAATGTTTGTCTAAAGAACATCCTTCAAAGTAATCCCTTCCCCCACTAATTAAAAATAAGATTGGCAATGTTTCAAATAATTGACTTATCCATAGGCTAAAAACTGAAATTAAATACTTTTAGTCTCAAATTCTTTTTTTTATTAAAACATTTTTATCATGAACAGGAAGATCAATTGAAGGCCTGTTTTCATAATTCTGCATTCTCTTTTTGGCATTTATAAAGGAGGAACCCAGGCTGGATGTTTTGATCAATAATGCAGGGATCTTCCAGTGCCCTTATATGAAGACTGAAGATGGGTTTGAGATGCAGTTTGGTGTGAACCATCTGGGGCACTTCCTACTCACCAATCTTCTGCTTGGACTCCTGAAAAGTTCAGCTCCTAGCAGGATTGTGGTTGTTTCTTCCAAACTTTATAAATATGGAGACATCAACTTTGAAGATTTGAACAGTGAACAAAACTATAATAAAAGCTTCTGTTATAGTCGGAGCAAATTGGCTAACATTCTTTTCACCAGAGAACTAGCCCGCCGCTTAGAAGGCACAAATGTGACTGTCAATGTGTTACATCCTGGTATTGTACGAACTAATCTTGGGAGGTACGTACACATTCCACTGCTAGCCAAACCACTTTTCAATTTGGTGTCATGGGCTTTTTTCAAAAGTCCACTAGAAGGTGCCCAAACGTCCATCTATTTAGCCTCTTCACCTGAGATAGAAGGTGTGTCAGGAAAGTACTTTGGGGATTGTAAGGAGGAAGAACTATTGCCCAAAGCTATGGATGAGTCTGTAGCGAGAAAACTCTGGGATATCAGTGAAGTGATGGTTGGCATATTGAAATAGGAATAAGATGGAAGAGAGCTATTTATAAAAGTGGATATCAGTTATATCAGTGATGAGGAATGGTGTGGCTTGGGCACTTGCTACGTGATAACACAGTTTTGGTTTTACAAATAATGTTACTAAGAGGTACATGTGGATATTTTGAAGTTATTGAAAAGTTATTTTTTGGATAAAATTTCAGGAAAGATGTGAATGTGTATATCATAAATGTAATGAATAAAATATTTTTTAAATTATAATTGGGCAAGCATAGATTTGTAACGATTAAAGAATCTGTTAAAATAGTTATCTTGAGAGGTTTTTCAAATATCTTGAGTTGCATGGCTAAAATGTTAAGAATTTCTACCATAATGCTGGTTTTTATGTGGAAATAATATACCTGGTGTATGCATACAAATCTTACACAGAATAAATTTACTGATGCAGATTCTTCACCGTGCATTTCTTTAAAAGTTTCACTTAGAACAGTTTTTATCATGTCCTCTTTGGCCTCTTAGTCTTGTTCAGTTCAGTCTCTTGGTACAGCTTGCACACTACTATGAGAGGTAGTATTTCTAAAACCCAAACCCAAATTTATTCCCTACCCTGCTTCAAAACCTATTACAGTTTTTTCAGTTGCCCATAACAGTGGGTTTTGAGCCTTTTGGGTTTTTTGTTTGCTTGTTTGCTTTTTAAAGTAAGGGTCTCGCTGCATAGGCCAGGCTGATGTGGAGCTCTCTACATAGTCTAGGCTGGCTCATGGTCCTCCTGCCTCAGTCTCTGGGCTGGGATTTACAGTTGTGCACTGCCATTCAGCTTAGCCTTTTGTTTTTTCCCCTTATAAAATTCTTTTTGATAATAAATTTTTTACTCAAATATAGAAGTTTGGTGGATAAACAGATTATAGCAATGCTATAGTGCTAGAGTCCGCCAAGACTATTCCTAAAGGGACTTTGTAGAATACAGTAGTTTATAAATCATTCTTACTTAAAGTGTAAGCTGTAATATACATTCAAGACCCCATGAACTGATGATAGTCTTGCCAATTTATGGCTTTTATTCACGGCTGTCTGATGGAACTTTCTGCAATGATAGAATTCTTCACACAGTTTGATGTGGTAGACTTAGACACATGCATACTGAATACTTGAACTATAATTGATAACTGAATTTCTAATCTTAATGTTTGCTTAAATTTAAAACAGGTACAGTCTAAGTGACAGTGTATTGCCAATCATTCCATGAGACAACTCAGTCCTGTATATACAATAGTCACCCGCCTTTCCTTAAATTTTTCTTGTAATTGTTACTTACCCTTTAGATGTCCCCTCATGTGTGTTCCTTTCTCTAGTCTCTATAGGCAGAAAGAATTCTTTGTTAGTTATTTCCATTGATCTTAGTAGCTTTGCTTAAAGTGTACTAATTACTCATTCACAGTTCTGTTTAAGCAATTAGAATAATTTTTCCAAGGAGAGGTGGTTTACTTTATTGTTAATTTTTCGCTCTCAAGAATCAAAGTATAGTACCTGACACAGAGTAAGAAAAATTCAGTAAGAATGATGTGCATAAAAATAATTGGGCCCAAATAGGAGTACTGTGGTCATCTGTGTCACAGTATCACAAGTCTACTTAATAATTTCAATTATTTGTCTTGTCATCACCTGTTGGAAAGAGGAATTAATGACACTAAACGATAGACAGCTCCATTTAATTTAATGACCATTGTGGGAGGGTTAACCCTTGACTTAGTATTTTTAAGACCATTTGTAATAACTGGTTACCAATATCGGTTCTTTTCAAGAATGGCAAGATCTTGGCAGATCACACAGAAAGTCTATTTTCTGTTAAAGCATTGCCTTGTGAATAGAGAAACTTTCTATCATCACAAGTGTGTCCCTGCAGGTGTAGTGTGTATAGCTGCATCATGTATTTTGAAACATTGTATTTTAAAAAAGTAATCCTAGGAACAGACCTGCTGAACTTGGAAATACAGGCAGGAAATATACCGGAATGCAACTTGGGAAATGGAAGCTAATAAATCTGTCCTACACCTCGACTTCATTAACAAGGAGCTCTTTTTTCATTTAATTCCATCTTTTCTGACTGCATTTTGATACCTGATGCTTTTCAGAGGATGTGGACCTTTTGAGCCTTTCAGAGTACTTATTTGTGGCACCAGCATAAAATAGGATGTATTAATTTATCATGATGGAAAACCAGAAACTTACCTGGAAACATGCAATTATTAAGGAGGTAAAATGAGCTGCCATTTGGAAGATGTCCTTTCCACCACTGTGGAATTGAGGACGAATAACTCCAGTCCGACTGTTAGACTTTGTTGATTGTTTCGGCACTTTGCTTCTCTTTTTTCCCTTACATGGACTCACTTTCAACTATTTCACCGGGATAAAGAAAAAGCAATTGTGATACTTTGATACTTATGCTCACACTCAGCAAAATACTGTTAAAGGAGACCTGTACTGCACCACTTAATAGAGTAAGTCAGGTGCAAACTCATTTTCCATGCTAATTCTTGGCTTAATTAAAAAACAAAACAAAAAAACCTGAGTTATATTTCAAGCAACTGTTCCAAGAAGCTGTTCAATTGATGAGTGTTCTGACTCAACTTCACCCAAAATAACAATTTTAAATAGTGGATTTCTAAAGACCATATAATTGGGAAAGGGATTTCACTTCTTAAAGATACTACTACATTGGTTTTAATTAACAGCTCCCCTTAATCTTGGAAAATTACTTAACCTCTCTGAGCTATTGTATTTTTTGGTTCTTTCCTTGATGTACAAATGCATACTTTTAAAAGACTTTTCAATGAATAAAAGTGACAATGTAGGTCAGACATTAAACAAAAGTGCCTGCATATACGGGCACATCATTTCTCCTTCCCCAATGCACCTAGTCATTACTATTAATAATAATAGTAATTAGTAATAGTGATGGTTATGTACGTGCATATGATGAAAACAATCTAAACTAAGGGTTTGAAACTTAAAAGAGCCATATTGTAAATATTTAAGGCTTTGTGGCCAGATACATACAGTCCATGACACATACTCTAACATATTGTCATTTTATACAATATATTAGAAATGTAAAAACTATTCTTAGTAATCCAGGCAATACCATTGCACTCAATCAACTAGTACAGTCATCCATTTGACTGTACTAGCCCAATGCATTCATTTGTTTGTTTGTAGGACACTCTGTATGGCAGTAATTGTGGGGTATGGTGCAACTCCTTTTACTCTCCTAGGCTGCTCTTGTTTTTCCGTATCATTTCTAGCTTTGCAGGAGTGTTTGCTTGCAGACCCAGGGAGTATAAAGTGTGTATTTTTAAATCTATCTCCAGCTATAGATTGTGGTGTGAGAACTAGCAGTTATCTGCCTCCAGCTCCCTCCCCTGACAAACCTGCTGGGCTTGGCCGGAGATCTGAGAAAATGAGTATTTGAATATTTAATTGATTCCAAATGTCCTAAGGAACACTTAGGAGAGAACATGTTACTAATCACCCTTCAGGAGCTTGGCCCCCACAGACAGCTTCAGATGTTTCACAAGAGTTCTCTAGACAATAGGGAGTTAAATTAGTTACAGGTTAGCATGGAAGAAGGTAGTTAATTCCTACAGGAAAGTTAGAAAGCTTGCCCAGTTTTCTGCAGACAATAAGGAAGGGGTTTTGCTAAGCCAGATGTTCAATTCAACCACTATCTAATGGACTTGTAATAACTGATTCTTCATTCTTTCTGAAAATCGTACTGACTGATGCTCATAACTGATGTGATTGTTTTAGGCTGAGGGGCTATCCTCCACCATACTTCAGCCCTTTGCTCTTTCCTGTTCTATTGTGTACTTGGGAATAATGAGCTGCTCATCACTTGTTCATTCATTTAACAAGCATTTACTGAGTGCCTATTATGTCAGTAAACAAAGAAAACCAAGCCTTAGCTGTGCTTGCTTCTTATGTGTCTGTTTATTAATGCAAATTAACTATGATTATTAACCTGTATTAATCATATGTGATTAACAACATATGACTAATATATTATTAACACATGACTAATATAATGTAGGTTAATAATCATAATACAAACCTGTGAAGTGTGAGTACAAAAAGAAAGGAAATTCTTATGAAAAATAAGCTGAATGCTTTGCAACAATTAAATGAAGGCAAAATCCTGGAAATTTACTGTCATACTAAAATAAATATTTTAGACTTATAAAAGATATCTGTAAATGGTCCTTGGAAAATGTCTTTAAACTTTGAGTCACAAAAGTAAAAACACAAAAGAAGGAAATCATTTACTATCCTGTTTAAGAAGATACTGTAAGAAGACAGTATTCCAAGTAGATCTGTTCAGAAACAGTGAAGATGATAATTAAACCCTTAGCCTTATCAGAAGACAAGTGTATGAATATGCTATGTATTTTAAGTTCAGGTAACAAATTTTTGGTGTATGTGATTTACACATATGGTTTCATTCTTTAGTCAACTTTTATATATAACCAACAATTTCAAATAAGAGGGATTTGATTAAATAAAATGGAAGTAACACTGGCATTTCAGTTAGTTAGTTTGGAGGAATTTGCAATAAATGTTTTCTATGTAGTGGGCATAGATTTCCAAAGACTTTATGTTGGAAAATTAATTTTTTTTAAATATACCAATGTGCTGAATTGATTAATATATGTGGTCTCAAAGTGTTTTTGCAGCTGGTCCTTAAGATTAATTTCATTATCAGCTTTGCTTCTCTCTCCCTCATTAAAAAAGCTCCTACTAAATACATTAAATAGATAATATCCTGAATATTAGGGGTTATTTTTCAGTATGTCATTTTGTCTTTAGAAGCTGCCATGTTACACATGATGTATTACATCCCAGTCTCTCCCAAGTTGTAGGTATTTGAGTCTATTGAAAAACAACAACCACAAAAATATGTCCCTACCTTTTTTCCATAAATTCAGACTTATGAAAAGTAATTGTATCATTTTTTGTACACTTTTTAATTTTAGGTAGTTATTCAGTTATTGGTAAATGGTGTTGAGTCTAAATCCCATGTTTTGCAATCATAAGAGTAACAAAATGAGTAAGTCAA